GGGGAGAGAGTGTGTGTGAGTGTGTGTGTGAGAGAGAGAGAGAGAGAGTGCATCTGCGTCCACTCCTCCCCCGCCCCAGCCCTCTCCTCCACTCTCTCCTTCCGCTTTTCGTACCCGCCTTCCGTGTGTTCGTTAACTCCCCCTCCCTGTTTTCTGCCACTCCTTCCCATGCTTCTCCTACCGCGTTCATTAACTCCCCCTCCCCGTTCCTGCCGTTCCTTCTCCTGATTCTCCTCCTGCTTCTGCTCCCGCTCCTCCTCCCGCTCCTCCTCCTTCTCCTCCTCCTCCTGCTCCTCCTCCTCCTCTCGCTCCTCCTTCTCCTCCTCCTCCTGCTCCTCCTCCTCCTCCTCCTCCCGCTCCTCCTCTTCCTCCTCCTCCCCCTCCTCCCGCTCCTTCTCCCACTCCTTCCCCCACATATCCTCCTGCTCCTCGTCCGCTCTTCCTCCTTCTCCCTCCCGCTCCTCCTATCGGGCCTTCTCCCACTCCTCCCACTCCTCCCGCTGCTTCTCACGCCGCCTTTCCTTTTTCTTTTGATTGATTGAAAAACAAAAGCCAAAATAGGAAAACGGGGCGATTTTTTTTTTTTGCTTTTTTCGATCGATCAATTAATCAATCAATCAATCAATCAATTAATCAATCAGTCAATCAGTCAATCAATGTCCACCCCTGTGTCCACCCCTGGCCCCCCCCACCCCTTTCAACCCTTCCGCTCCTTCTCCTGCTCCTCCTCCGTCCCTTCCCGTTTCCCCTCGTGCTCCTTCTCCCGCTTCTAACCCCCTCCCCATTTCCCCTGCCACTTCTCCTCTCGCTCCTCCTCCCACTTCTCCCCCTCCGCATCCCGCACCTCCTCCACCCCTTCCCGTTTCCCCTCCCGCTCCTCCCACTCCTTCTCACGCTCCGCTCACTCCTCCTCCTACCGCTCCTCCTCAGCCAAACAATGTGACAAAGATCCCGCCATAGCCCCGCTCCCACTCCTTCCGCTCCTCCTCCCGCTCCTCATCCCTCTCCTTCTCCCGCTCCCCTCCTGCTGCTCCTCCCGCTCCTCCTGCTCCTCCTCCCGCTACCGTTCCTCCTCCGCTCCTTCTCCCGCTCCTCCCCCTCCTCCGCCAAACAATGTGACAAAGATCCCGCCATAGCCCCGCTCCCGCTCCTTCTCCCGCTCCTCCTCCCCCTCCCCCTCCCTCTCCTTATCTCGCTCCCCCTCCTGCTGCTGCCCCCGCTCCTCCAGCTCCTCCTCCTTCTCCCGCTGCTTCTACTGCTCTTCCCCCCGCTCCTTCTCCCGCTTCTCCTCCTCCACCTGTACCTCTTCCCGCCCCTCCGCCTCCCGCGTGTTCGTTAACCCCCTCCCTGTTTCCCCTCCCGCTCCTCCTCCCGCTCCTCCTCCCGCTCCTTCTACCGCTCCTCCTCTGCCCCTTCCCGTTTCCCCTCGCGCTCCTTCTCCCGCTCCTAACCCCCTCCCCATTTCCCCTGCCGCTCCTCCTCCCGCTCTTCCTCCAGCTCCTTCTCCCGCTCCTCCTCCCACTCCTCCTCCCCCCCTTCCCGTTTCCCCTCCTGCTCCTTCTCCCGCTCCTCCTCCCGCTCCGCTTTTTCCCACTCCTTCGCCCACTCCTCATCCCGCTCCTTCTCCCGCTCCTCCCACTCCTCCGCCAAACAACGTGACAAAGATCCCGCCATAGCCATCTCCTACGGAAAAGAAAAGAAAAGAAAAAAAGCCCACCACGTGGCTAGCCGAGAGAGAGAGAGAGAGAGAGAGAGAGAGAGACGGGCGACGGCACACGCACGCAGGCTTGCCTCTCCGCTGCCCGTCTGTCCACCGATCTCCGGAAGCCACCCGCCTCACCACCGATCTGCTGATGCCGCGCGCTGGTCCACTCTTTTCGCGCGGCGTTTCTTTTTTGCGTCCACTGCCGCTTTCCCCGCATGGGCCCCCACTCCACTTTGCTGGCATGTGGTGCATGGTGCTTGCTTTCTGTGCCCCCGTGCCGCTTTCCCCATGTCCCGCGGCCCCACGGTTCTCCCCGCAACCGGTCGGTCCCTCTCGATTTCCCCCCAGGTGCCGCGGGTCCGTGTGTTTCTGGGGCCTACACATCAAAGCCTTTGCAGTATGGACACATCTTATGTCAAAGCCTATGGCTTTCACAAAGGGGTTCAGAGTCCAGTTCCACACAGTCAAGATAACTGTCCTATACACATTGGTGCACATAAAGGCAATCAGCTTTTCCATTCTGATACTTTGTTTTTTTTTTTGTTTTTTTAACTTTCAGAAGGCAGCCAACAGACCTCAGTTCATCTGGAGGGTTACTCTTATTCCTTTCCCACCAGGAGCACAACCGTTAAACACACAGAGAAAAGAGGGAAGGAGTAACAGAACAGGTCTAGCACAGAGATGAGCAGTTGGGCAGAGTAAAGTCTGCTGAGAGGAACATACCCGCTCTGTGGAGAAGAGGATTGTACGCATCAGCTTCCCTTGGCTGGTATTGAACCCAGTTCGCAGGACAATGGCCACACAGCCATTGTCAGGAGTCTTGAGATGAGCAGTCTGCTACACACAAGCAAAGCCGCAGGAAAAAAGTTGAGTTAGAAAATTTACACAGAAAAGAAAAGCACTAGATGCAAAGCCAACCAAGGAAGTGGAGGTAAGATCCACCATAGCCAAAGGTAAGCCTCTCGTGCCGGTTACCTCCTTCCTCTCCCTCAAACACTACTCTCTTCCTCGACCTTTTCAAAACCTGGCTTGAGGTCCTTCTCCATCCACCTCCATAGCCTAGGCGTCTTCTCCTCCACCGCTTCAACCCAGCTGTCTACGTACTGGAGGTTTCTGCCTTTTGGCAGAAACTTCATTGGAGTCCACAACCTGCGTTCAGGGTATGCACCTAACCTGTTATCCGCCTACATACGGGCTCTCCATTACGACCTCTTTGGAAGCTACTGGACCTTTCTAAGCCTTTCGAAAATCCTACCGGGTACTTGCCAAATTCTCGATTTGACCTTGTCCGTCTTGGCCTTCCTACCACGTCCGTCAGGTGTCCAATTTCAGTCCTATCCCAGTTGTTCTACCTATTTACTGTTCTAGCCCTCCCACGACACTGAACACACAGCACGAGAACAGAGTTACTTCACATGGCATAGCACGCAATGCACACTCAAGAAAAACAGAATTACACTAAAACTCGAGAAATCTTCAGCCAATCGAACCAACAACATTAATTCTCCACATATTTACTGTTCTACCCCTCTCAGGACACAGAACACACCACGAGAACCGAGTTAGTTCAGAGTTAGTCCACAGTTGGTCCAGAGTAGGTCCAGAGTTGGTCCAGAGTTGGTCCACGGGCATGGAACGGATCGCACACTCAGGCAAAACAGCAATCACACTCGAACTCAGAAATCTTTAGAAATCATCGCACACTCCGGCAAAATAATTTCACAACAGACTTTGAGCACGGAGAAATTCTCGATTTAGAAATCACCCTCACATAACAAATTTGACACATCACAATAGCCTTTGTAATTCTCTTTACCATCATCCTTGCCGTCGTACTCCTATTTCCACGTCCATCCCTCTTCTCTATCCCCGCAGTGACCCTCCCATCTCTCCCTCTCCCTCCTCCTCATCCTCCATACTGTAGTAATGCAAAATGGAGCAGGCTAAACACACAACTGACTGACGATTTCTCATCATGGCAGTCTGACTGCAAAGCCAGAGACTGGGTATATTGAGGATACCTCTACTAGAAACGTGATGAGATCCAACCAGCCTTTGGAAAGGGGAAAAAGGGGAAAAAAGGGGGACAGCCATGAGGTATCATACCGGCCCCAGGTAACTCAGAGTGTTTTTTTTTTTTTTCATTCATCCAGAATCCAGATCCATTCAGATTCGAACTAAGGTCTGTGTTTCAACATTTCATTGGTGTACCCACTGAGCTAGGCCCGTTTGGTAGAGATCCAACCAACCTTATCAGGAGTGTGCTGCAAGATCTTTGTCCCTCCAAACAAGACGTGAGTTTTGTCCCGTTTTACAGCTAGGCGCTCTGTTGGATCTCTCCCAGTCACTGGGACCTGAAAAGCACGCAAGAAGATATAGACCGCACCCTTGTCAGCATGCATTCTGCTCGCCAAACCCAATCACCAGTTATTACAACACCAGAAAAGAACGGTGCAGGAATGGAGTGTTTTTTCCCCCTTCATTGTTTATGTTTTCTCTTCCTTTAGTCTTTGGGGTGTGTGTGTTTGTGTGTGTGTGTGTGTGTGTGTGTGTGNTGTGTGTGTGTGTGTGTGTGTGTGTGTGTGTGTGTGTGTGTGTGTGTGTGTGTGTGTGTGTGTGTGTGTGTGTGTGTGTGTAAATGCTCTCAACCACCAACACCTCACCAAACTCAAAATGTTGCTGACAGATTCCACCTGTTTTTCTGATAACAAATGCTGGAAACCAGGTCCAGCATTCCTTAATCTCAGAAACACACTCAACTCATCCCTTCGTTATGGTCAAGGGATCCTTTTTTTTTTCCCTTTTTAACACCAGTACATATAGCCCCAGAAAACAAACCCGAGAAAAAGAGAGAGACTCTCCGAAAAGTTCTCCGCAGGCTCGCGGCAAGCGGCCCAACATGGCTGGTGGCGCCCATTGTGCAGGCGTTCCGGCAAAGCTTGGCGCACAGGGCAAAGCCGCCAGCCTCAGATATATTGGGGGTTGTATAAATCCTGGAAACCGAGTTCAGCATCCCTTACATCAGAAAAACACACTCTGCGCATCCGTTGATTATGGTAAATGGAGCCTGAGCTAGGCAGCAGCATTGACTACTCCCTCTCTTCGGAAAGATGCACTACCGCTTCTCCCCTGCTTCCACAGATTCCGCTTTCTTACATTTGTAAGGGTTTGTTATCCACCGCCATAACAAGGCAAACCCAGAAACAGAAGAAGAAAGAAGTCGCTAAGTCGCAGGGCAGCAACATGTCCCAGGTTAGCAGTACCCAGAAGCCAACCCACTAATGTAAGAAAGTCATATCTGCAAGCAGCAGCACAGAAGAAAAACTGGTGATGACTTTTGGGCTTTCACTGGATCCTACACCATGCTGTCCAGACTTTGCTCAAAACCACCACCAATGCTTGTCCACACATCCACCTGACAGAAGGCCTCGCTCCACTACACAACACTCTTCATGCACTAAGACGATTTCTCAACCAGGTGCATTCGGACGAGTGCATTTTGAAGGTGTCAGGTCCAGAAAGCATCCAAATGCATGTAGAGTGCTGTGTACTGGAGCGAGGCCCGTAAACCTTTGAGAGGATAAGGGAGGTACAAGAGCACCAGAACACAAATACATGCAGGTTGCACATTAAAGCTGGCCCCACTGCATCATTCACACCTACATGTACTGATCAATAAGTTCAGTGTTCGCTCGTTTCCTGACTGCAGAGCTCCGCCAACCAGCCCCCCGTCTTCGGAAATGCAGAAAATACAAACTTAGGTCTTTGAGAAAAAGAGTGCATCTTTTGGGCAAGAATTTTAAGTGCCCAGCTCAAGTACAAAGAGGCAACCGTCAGATGAGCTACGACGATCTGATTTGATTTGTAGTAGATGGGAAAAGAACCCGCTCACATCCGGCACTAACCAGAGACGACAAAAAAAGTTGAGGACCAGACCCAGCCGTGTAGTGTTTGTGCTAAGTAAGAATGAGCTTAGCCAGACAGGCCATGAACTCGGCCATGTCGTTACCCCTGGTCATGAAGAACACCAGGTCCTTCCATATGCCAATAAGTAACAAGCATACTATCAGAGGGAGGGCCTGGCACCCATGCCCCGACCATTTGTTGTCATACGCCAATAAGTACAAACATAGCATCAGGGAGGCCTGGCCCCGATGGCCCAGCCATTTGTTGTCAGAGTTATGCAGAGGGTTGTGATCAAATACTTCGCAGTAATAAGGCGTGCAAATAAATGAAATTCTGAGACCCCACATCTCTACACTACCCGACGTACGTAGACGTCAGGTGGCTGTCTTAACTACGTCAGGTTGAATGTCGTAACTGTAGACCGTCCAGAGTCCAGTACATTTTGGGGAACGCAGCTTTCCCAACCACCGGATTATTCCCAGTCCATGGGCGAGCAACTATAGCATAAGATCAGCCTCGTGAAATTGCAGTCGTTCCTTGTGCGCCGCACTGTAGCTAACTCCTCAGACAAAGAGCACTTTGACCAACAATCAAAAGCACAGTGTTTGTGCACCTACCTACCTTCCACTGGGGAGTTGACTCGCCAGTCAGGAGTGCTTCGTTCGCAATCACAGTCCCTGCCAACAGCAACATGTCTGCAGGAACCGTCCTTTCCTCACTTCCCTGAGCAGTTGTTCGCCCAAGTGACACAATATCTCCCGGCAAAAGTGCAATCCCCGAAAGGCGAACCCACCTGCAGGACAAGATAAAGTATTCCAACCAAGGAATCAATTAATTACTAATTAGTGTTTTCACCACTGATCTTTCCTGTGAAAAAAAAAAAGGGAGGGGAGACAAAAAAAAATAAAAATCTGGATGGCAAAACAAAATCCAGCAGCAAAAGTTCGCATTTTTTTTTTTAACTCGCTGCTGCTACAAGCAGGCCCATAACTCTTTGGCTCCTTTCTGCTACCAGTCAAAAGGAAACTCTACAGGTTGGATTGCTCGACGACTGCCCCGCTGTCTCCAACATGGCCTGAGTGAAATTGAATTCTCGGTGAAGATCCGGAGTACCAGCGGCAATTAGACGGTAAGATCCTGTGCACCTTTACTGTAGCTTTGCATTGACAACCGTCGATCGAATGTAGGATGTGATACAAAGGGCACTGCAAGCCCACGCTGTTCTTAATTTGTGGAAGGAGCCCTTCTGGGCCCTTCACCTCGGAAGAGTGGGATGCATGTCATACTTGCAAGCACATGATGCGTGTACATCGAGTGCAGTGCTGCAACAAGCATGCCCAGCGCACGGCGTCCATGCCATGCGCACCAAAACAATGCAAGAACAAAATATTAAAAAATAATTTACAAATTGCCAAAAAAGAATATGTGAGGTAAAAGTTATGTTGAGCAACTTTGGCAGAGAAACTTTCCAGGAATCATAATCTTTCTTTTCTTTTTTTTTTAACGATTCTTTTAAATGTTTTCCTTTTTTTCATTTTGTCGTTTTCTTTTCCTTTGAGCAGCACACCTAGTTTTTTGACACCAGTGCACAGCGGCCATACACAAAGCACGCATGTGCAGTTCCAAGTGTGGATGATGTCAATTACTGAGCAGCACAGACATCGAGATTTGGACAAGGAGACGAAGGCCGTGGAATAAGAACACCCGATAACACACTGAACAAAAGACCAGCCTGACACAAACACAGGCACCCATAGACTTCAACCTCACTGCGCAGTGCGCACAAAAGATTACCACGTAATGGCCACAAAGCTTCAGGATCAGCATCCACAGGGTCATCAATCATGCATGGTCCTTGGTCCATTCACAACCTAAGTGCACAACACTCTGTAGTCTACAGTTACTCTCTAACCCATTGAAGCATTTGCAGCATGCTGCCATGCTGCCAAAACCCAAGGGAACAACTTCCCTCCCCAGTTGTACCAGGTGCGAGATGAGAGAGCAAAATAAGGACTTACTTTCCTCCCCTATACACTAACAGGCTCTGCTTGTCCACTGCGACTTGGCGAAGCTCCATGAGCGTCCGAATGCGGCTCTTGACAACCGTCGACTCAAACAGCAGCAGCATAAACAGTGTGAACACACTGTAGTACCAGTACTCATCCAGACACCATAGCCCAACACAGAAAACCTGATCCATCACACACACAGACAAAGCAATTGCCCATTGGAACATTGGAATTCAGTAATGATGGTATCAGCGTGCGTGCCTGGCTCAGTTGGTACACCTAATGAACAGTAGAAAATACAAACCTGAGTTCGAATCCAGATGGAACTTAGTAGTTGAATAAATTTCTGAATTGCTGGCACCTAATGGACGGTAGAATATACAGACCTGAGTTCGAATCCAGATGGAACTTAGTAGTTGTACTAGTTGAATAAATTTCTGAATCACTGGGGGCCGCCGGTCAGTTCCACGGCAATATCTCGTTCTTTCCTTCTTTGTTTTTTTTGTTTTTTTTTGTACTTCTCACGGATGTTTGCCCTTTTCAAGAAAAAAAGGGATTCAGTGACGATGTACGCACGTGGGTGAACGGCATTATACCCTATCAATTCCCGAGTTCTGTAAACGTTTAAAAAGAAGAAAAGAAAAAAGAGTCTTATAAAAGTAGTAAAAACGTTTGGTTACCATCCATTCCCGAAATCGTGCAGGCTCTTTGATTGATGCAAATATATATAATCAGTTGGCCTCATGCCCCCTTCTGTCAGTAGTCTTGAATAAGACTTCAGACTGTGCAATCGAAGCCAATGCCACTACCGTCTTCACCCGGATAGAACGCCAGGTCATTATCGCTGCATGTGGACCGAAAGTAGCTCCTAATACAGCTACAATGAGCATGCATTTTGTTCGCATGAAGACGGTAGTCGAAACCTGCACCCGCCAGTGCCTACCAGTCAAGAGATCATATGCTTCAGCGACATAGCACACGTGGGCAGTTCGCTGGCAACACGTCATACCTATTTTGCTTCTTTCTCTTCTTCTTCTTCTTCTTCTTGTGGGCAGTTCGCTGCCAACACGCCATACCTATTTTGCTTCTTTCTCTTCTTCTTCTTCTTCTTCTTCTTCTTCTTCTTCTTCTTCTTCTTCTAATTTTCCCTGTGTTCAACCTCCATCAATGATCAACACTGTCATCATCATGCACTGCCAGGGAGCCATGATAGTTAATCATTTCCAAATGAAAGGAGTCCAATGCAAATCTACCCATCACAACTCAGGGTGAGAATATACTTCCTGTTTCCCACCTGAAGGGGTTCGATTTGCGATGCAAACGGTTAACCTGCTTGTGCCTGAACAAAGGAGAGAGTGTGTAAGCTGAGGACGTGCCTGAAGAAAAAGAGAGAGCCATCAGCAAGCTGAGCATGTCGGTTTTTCCCATGACAGACCAAGAATGTGGGTAACTAACTGACAGCACCACACGGAAAAACGGGCCACAAACAAAAATGGCTGGCCTCTCATTCTACCTGAACAAAATGAGAGAGTCAGTAAGCTGAGCATATGCCTGAAGAAAAAGAGAGAGCCAGCAAGCTGAGCATGTCGTTTTTTCCCATGACAGGCCAAGGAATGGCCTTTTGGGCCTTTGGCTAAAAATAGATCAAGTGTAGTGTCTGTTCTGATCAGTTTAATATCTGGTGCGTGGTCAACAACAACAAAAAAAAAGGTGTGTAACTGACGGCACACGAGAAAACAGGCCGCAAACGAAGTTGGCTGGGCTCTCATTTTGTAAGTTCAGATTTCAGTAAACCTAACCTGGAAAACAAAGAAGGGCTCCATGCACTGTTCCTTGAAGAGCTTCCCAAACGTAGGCTGGGGAAAGTCGAACCTGCAAAAACACAAGCACAGAGAAGCTCTCCTTCAGCTCATTATGACTGGGACAACACAATAGAAACACACACACAATACATATTGGACAGTAATGGGTAGGGTTCCTTGAAGGGAGGAGGGGGGAAAGGAGGGGCGGGGAGCCAAAGAAGGATAGGGTAAAAAAGCAGGGCATTAATAATCAAATGGGAATG